TCTTTTTTATAAATACGAATTGTCATCACATCAGTAAACATTCCCATGTTTCAGAAACAATTTTAGTCATACAGAATGAAATTCAGGGAGCGTTTACATTAGAAACCACCTGAAGATGAGACCAGTATACTCAGGTTCTGAGACAATTCGAAACGAGTCCTTCCACGGACAACTTTGCAATAAATTGGATTCCATCGTATGTCTTTTTTAATCTATTTGAACATACGCCATTTTAGTTGAATTTGGGAAGTTTCGGATGCTATAGAAACCGAGACGAAATGATTTCATTTCGAAGTAAACATGTGCACATATGATAAAAAATTAAGATAAACAATGAATAAAATAAAATTAAAAACAGGATAAAAACAACTAGATGGCAATAACCAAGTCAACATGTAAATGAAACAAAGACATAAAATAGAAGAAGTTGGAAAAGGAAGCAAGAAAATTCACACACTCACAAACACAGAAGTTGAGTGTGAGCACCTGGAAGAACATAGAAAGCATGTCGGATGGCGAGACCGGGATCGAAACTGGCTGATCAACAGGAGTTTCTTCCTTCTGCTCTTCCGGAACTAGGGTTTCCTCTGTAACTGACCTAATTCTCCTGAATTCTGTGTTCTTCTTCCTTGTGAAGTGCAGAGAACGACTGGAGACGCGGTTTGTTCCAAGACGAAGACAATGGACTGAAGTAGTCAAAGAAGTGGAATTAGAAATGAGAAAACAATTGTTGGTTCTGCAAAAGGAATACAGTGAAGGGAATGCTTCGACGGAGGCCATTGCTCTTCAACAGTCAATCTTCTTCCCGGTTTATCGTCACTCTTCCTTAACCTACAGCTGAGAGGCAGTGTGCTTGTTCTAGATTCGACTTCCACCCTCCACTTCCCTCCCTATCCACTCCACTGTCATAGCTTTTGGGCAAATCTCAAGGTACCCGTTCTAAAAAAAGGGTAAATCTCTTCAATTCACGAAATTGATAATCTGTATTCTTACCGTTTATTTATTATATTAGCTTGTTCTTATGAGTAAATGTACGTTTATGATTCTGACAATTGACCAAGTGTACCCGTAACCATTAACTATGAACAAAAAAAAGTTGAAAATGCCTATTATACCCCTATATAAAATTACATTTTTATCCTTGTTTTTGAATTAACTCAATTCCTCTCAGACGAGTCTCACCCTATCTGTCGAAGGGAAGAGAAGACAGGAGCGCCATCCAGATGGCTTGCCATCGCCATCTCCATCAACGGCGATCACTGCAAATAATGAACGGCGGAGGTTCGGGGGAAATCCGACAGAGGTCGACGGTGGGTTTTTTATCCTTGTTCTTAACACCCCTTTTTGTTTAAACCTTAAACAAAACGGATATGAGTTTTTTTTATTAGAATACAGTGTTATTTTTTTGCTTTTGCAGGAGGGATAATCGTTTGGTCAAGAGGTGAATAAAGGGAGAAGGAAGGTTGAGGGGGAGGGAAGGAGGTCTTGTGCAAAGAGGTGAACAGAGGTAAACAATATAGTTATTTTGTGAAGTAGGAAGAAAGGAGGAAGTGGACTTGTAGATGTTCAACGAAATGCCAAAGCGATCCTAGCGTAGCTACACCAGCGCACGCCTAGCGCATGCCCGTGCACACCAATGCACGCCTAGCGCATGCTCGCTCACACCAGCGCACGCCCAGTGCATGCCCGCGCACACCCCCGCTCACCCGAGCACCCTTCTAATACCACAAAGGTTTTTTACCCATGTGGTGGTGGGGAGTGTGTACTTGTCGTGGCGTGGAATGGGAAGGCTGAGAATGCTAGGCGGGAATTCTATGGTTGTCACTACTACATAGGTTATACAAAACCTTAGTTATTGTTGTAGTTTGTTAACGTTTCATGTAACACAATTTTTTTGTTATTGTTGTATTTTGACGGTGATAGAAGATGTAATTTCTTTTGTTGGAATGATGAGATACGGTGTTGTCCATGTGGAAATGGGGTTTGCGGGATCTTCACATCTAAATGGCCCGGTATACAAGGGAGACGATTTTGGGTTTGCACAAAGCCCCAAGTAAGATTATTCAATCTTAGTTATTTGTCTGTGCAAAGTTTGTTAAATATTCAATCGCTTAAAGCATATTATTTTTTGTAGGATGCAGATGGGTGTAAGTTCTTTGCATGGATACCAAGGAAACCACAAGTCCAATAGAGTGTAACCATCAAAGGAGATGTGGCAAGACCTTCTAAAGACCCACTAGATGAGGTTGAAGCAGTTGTCCGGTCAAAGAAGGATAAATTCGATAAAATGTCTGAATTTTGTGATAAGTTGTTGGGTCGTATAAAAAATCTGAGAATCAAAAATGTATAATCTGATTTTGGCCTGATTGTGACTTAATTTGCATACCTTTCGTCTCAAGATTTTCAAATCAAGGGGAAGAAATAATCAATGTTCAAAATCGATAATAGAATTATATAAAATAAAAATAGTAAAAGCATTAGTAAATTATATATAGACAGAGCACATATATTCTTAAGAAAATATCTAACTATAATTCATCCTATATAACCAATTACAAAAGCGGCATTAAGCATGCCTCTACACTCTTTGTACAAAGAATGGCAATGACCCAACAAGTTCAGTCACCATCACCCCTGTGTTTGAGGAGGCGGTAGAGATTTCAACTTTCAACTTTGAACCTATGGAATGAAGGGCAGCCTCCCTTTACAGTTGCAAATTCCATTCCAACAAGAAATCTTGGATTAGAAAAATCAAAATCAAGTGGACCAACTCCCCCTCTCTCCAGATTGTCATTGTCACTCAATGGCTCATAATCTGACAAATCAACTGCTTCCTTAACTGATGATACACCAAGACCATCATGCCCGGTTGATGGTACACCAAAACCACCCGATTGTTCTGAATCGGAGTCACCAATACCACCTCCTAGCCAATCATCATCACCACCTAGCCCATCTCCACAATTCTGATCTTCATCAAATTCACCATCAGCACCCTCCATTCCATGACCACACTCATGCTCAGATGCATCATCATCGGACACAAAATCAATAATGCAACAATCACCTTCACTTTCAACTATATACTTTCTTTTTCCATGGTCACTACTTTGTCCACTTCTTTCAACACACGTGTCATCAATCGATACACATTTAGCATATGTAGTAGTGACATATAAGATAATCTCACGCATATAACTATGCATGGCAAATATCTGCACCATGCCACTCTCACTACCCAACAAACCCAATTGCTCCTCTAGTTCATGATTAGGTACCTTGTAGTTTAATGGTTACTGTATTGCCAGGAGGTATCCAACACAAATTACAAAAGTCCTCCATGATGTCTAGGTAGCAAATCCTATTACTGTCAATATTATCCACATGTCCCACGTTACCACCGACATATGACAGCTTCCCATTAATTATCTTCCATTGGCCACCATGGTTGACAACAAACGTATATCTCCCTTCCTCCATTCCTAAACATGATAAAAACAAGATTTTAGCCAATAAAACAAGTTGTAACTAAAGTTGGTTAACCTAATGCTAATTCTACACAATAGAAACATTAAAAAAGTGAATGAAATAGGCAATTTAGAACACCACTCAACTCAAAGCCATTTTGTGAGTGGATGAATCTAATATTTTTAACCATCTATTACATCATTTTGTCTCTTAACTGTTAATATGAAACATGATGATCTGTTAACAAAAGCAGTCAAAAAATTCAATGGGAAAATTGGAAGAAAATAGGTGAGTGTGCTTCTATGTATTAACTGGTTTGCCAATTATTCACTAATTTGCAAAGAGTTTCATAACATTTGACTCTAAAGATCAATCTGTTTAATTGTTTTATATATTGTATTGCTAATATTTGAAAGTTAAAGTTGGATTTATTTAGCCTTCCAAGTACCTATTAGTTGGACTGCAATTTAGCTTGTTTTCTTATCTTACCTTACTCTTTTGCCTTTAGCATTTGAAGGCCCAAAATACCCTGTCATATTTATTAATCTTCTACATTTACTCTAGGACATTTTTAATGGGAATTCAATAGCTTCTTGATTTCCTATTGGAAATTAATATGAGTAGTTAGATGCAAGCTATATTAATGGGAATTCATGAATTATGTTTTTGGTAGTCCTGTTTCATTGTTAAATGTAAGCTATATGAGGAAGCTCAATCCAAAAGAAGTAAGCACTTTATGGAGTTTCTTCCTTCTGATTTCTTTCTTATTTTTTATGTTCTTTGTTTTTTCTTAATTTGTTCCATCTTTGTTGTTTCATTTTTTGTGTTCCTTACTACTATTTTTGTGATTTTATGAACTTTCTGATCTCTTGCAGCTGAATGGTTCCCTGGTCGGTTAGATTTGTAGTGTTTGCATTGATGGCAGAAGGTTCTCAATCCTGAACTCATTAAAGGACCATGGACAAAGGAGGTCAGGATATGTTCACTCTTTTTATTTGTTTATTATCAACTCTATGTGTATATATTATGCATCCATGATTATTTTGTTTCTCCTTTGGTGCTTTCAGGAAGATGATCTTATTATTGACCTCATTTCATTGGCAACACAACCCTTTCTAGGTTGTTCAGGCATTTAGTTGAACACATGGGTTGTATTGGCAACACAACCCTTTCTTTCTGAAGTAGACACGTGTGGATCCAATGTTTGCACTGTAGCAAACATATGGGTCCCAAAACCGCCATTTGATTCAGTCTAAGAGCCGACATGAATGCGATCATAGGCCATGAATCTCAAAGTATGGTTGTACACACACAAATTACAAAGAGATGGTCTCCTACCACAGACAAGGCATTTGTACATACCTCATAAACTACAAGTTTCAATATTCGTCCGTATAACTCACTGCAAAATCGAAAAAACCCTGCAAAAGCGAAAAAATAACATTGTATTCTAATTAGACACTAAAGATTCCTTCGGTGAAAAAAAAAAACCTTTAGTAAAAAACAAAAAAACTCATCTTCGTTTTGTTTAGGGTTTAAACAAAAAGGGGTGTTAAGAGCAGGGATAAAAAACCCACCACTAACCTCCGTCGGATTTCCGCCAGACCTCCACTGTTTGTTATTTGCAGCGATCACCATTGACGGAGATGGCGATGGCGAGCCATCGGGATGGCTTTCTTGTCTTCTCTTCCCTTCGACAGATAGGGCGAGTGTCTGAGAGGGATTGAGTTAATTTAAAAACAATGATAAAAATGTAATTTTGTATAGGGGTATAACGGGCATTTTTAGCTTTTCCTTTCATGGTAAACAGTTAGGGGTATAATTAGTCAATTGTAAGGGTACACTTAATCAATATTCAAACAATAAGGATAGAGTTAGTCAATCAGCTAAACCATAAGGGTAGTTTAAGAAATTTACCTTATTCACATATAATATCACATGAGTGATAATTATTTTAAAATTCTTAAAATATCCTTATTATTTACACCGCTTTAGAAGTTGTAGCGGTGATAACAGTGATTTTGATATCGTCATCGTCGTTAATTGCAACTTCCAAACAACAAAAGTTTAATAAGAAAAAGGTGAAGAAAGTCAGAGGAACTAGTCTCGATATCGGCCACTGGTTTCTTGGGTGAGAAAACATTCGCACACCGCCCTGGGGTACAATTACTGAAGCAATTGGTTGCAACGACGTTCGTGATCGGATGGAATATAGTATCGACGACCCTTATTCTTTTAGGGATAAAGATATTCATGCCCGAATGTTGGAGGAAGAGCTGATGATTGGAAACGATGCAGTTCATGGGGCGTTTATTGTGTTCTCCTCCAAAGGTAGCAGTTGATGTATTGGCGTCTTTATCTCTACCAGCACCCCCACCAATCTGGAATAATTGATGTTGCTGTTGGGGGCTTAAAGACGACAGACTGAATCCCTGTAGCAAAGCCAGATTAGAACTGCCGAACTCCCTGGAGACGTTCATGGGCTGATTGAATGATTGAAGTGCTGCTAACAAAGACGGAAACCCTCCACCTGGATAGTAAATAGAAGGTGGGTTGGGTGCTACCGGAGGAATGGGAGAAGGTGGGATCATCAAATCTACTTCTTTGGTCCTCAGAGTAGGATTACCACCACCACTGGTGGTTATGACTGTAGAGGTGGAGGTTGTGGATGATGTTGTGATAGATGGGGAACTGATGGCAGTTGGTTCTTGATGTAGCGCGATCCGGTCACTCCTAGCTAGCGGTGGCCTGGCTCCTAGCTGGCGACGGGCAGCACCTGAGATGAAAAAGACAGTGAAGGATTCCCGTGGAGCTCACTCGGCGGGAATACTATGACGGTCAAGTTAGAACTCTGAGAGAGAATTGCAGAGAATACAAAGAGAGCTAAGAGTGCAGATAGCGCGAAATCAATTACCTTTTTCCCTTGGGGATCGGGGCCTTTTTATATTGATGCCCTGTCAAATTGGATGTAACCACCTCTGATTCTTTGCCACAACCGTTATTCGCCAGGCTGATTCGATTGGTGCAAGCATCCGTCGTAGAGTACAGTCCTGTCAGTTGAGAGACGTTATGCAAAACCGGCGTGTACCACGCTGCCTGACGTGAGACGTGGGCGCAATCCTCTGGACTGGCAGGTGCTACGCCATCAGACAAGAGACGTGGAAGTAGTCTTGACAGGCACGGTCTTGTCGGATGAGAAGTTTCCTGAAGACTCTGGGTTGCTTGATAGCGAGCTCCTTTGTAGAGAGCTCCCTTGTAGCGAGCTCCAATAGCGAGCTGCCTTGTAGCAAGTCATTCTGTAGCGAGCCGTAGCAAGCTGTAGCGAGCTATCTCGTGGCGAGTTATTCTATTGTGGTTTCAGCAAGCCCATTACGCCGAGTTGCGGCCAAGCTGTCATGCTGAGTTGTCATTTACGTTGAGCCATACCCACGTATCCCTTAGTTAGGAGGTTGGGTCAAATCACCCTCCATCAGTTCTGTAGATTATCGGCGGTATAGGATGTTTTCGGTCGCTTTCCCTTCCTGCAACCACCGCCCACGGGACGTTCCGTTCGGTTCCCCCTTGAGTCCAGTACATTCTACAAGTCTTGCAAAAGTAACGCGGCTACAAGAGGTTATAACTGTTGTAATAAAAGAACTTGGTATTTAGAGAGTCACAACGCGGGCATTTCTGAGGCTGTTGTTGCTGCTGCTTTTGATTCTCCGATGATGGCGCTTTCACCCGCCGATCATGTTATTGCAAGCCCTTCATCTGGTCTATTCTTCTTCCTCCTGCACCTGCTATTCCTCCTCCACCACCTCTATCTTGTTGCATCTCTCTCTCTCTCTCTCTTCAGATCGCTATATTTCTCTAGTTCTTCTTGTAGAGGGATGGCGAGACGGGCGGGGAGGCGAGTTAATTCAAAACGAGATGCTACACATAGCTTTTGCACCCTAATTCAACAGTTCCTTCCCAATCAGGTCTCTAAATAAATCGAGATAAAATTCCTTGCAGGCAGAAGATGGGCATAAAAGAGGAAATGTATATTAGGTGGATATATGTTTTCAAAACTGAATGTGAAACAAATGGGAATTGGAACCAGCAACATTTGGGGCACAGTCATCGGAAATCACAGCAAGGTGCTCTATTGGTTCCCTGTCAAGGAGCACAGGCCCGCACCTAGCTAAGGATTCCAATTCAAATCTCCATCTTCAACAGTAGCAGAGCTTAGGGTTCCGATTCATTCTTTGCGAATTTCACCGATGGTAGTGGCGTTGGTGTTGAAGAAGGATGTGAAGGTCTCCTCCATCATCGACCTTCAAGGCCGGAGGCAGAAAGCATGTTTGCAAAGTTCACGTCTTCTTAGGAGGAGGCAGTGGCACCGGTGGTGAACCTACTCTTCCTCATCCCTAAGAGATCGGAGAGAGACCTTCAGAGTTTTTTTCTTCTCCCTGTTTTTGTTTTTCTTTCTCTTTCCCTCGATATGATTTTAGGTTTATTTGTTCATCAGTTGGGTTTTATTTTGAAAATTTGATAAATGGTGAAGGGAAAATTCGACATTTTGTTTCCTGTTGTACGATATCTAAACATTAAGGATATAGTTTGTCAATTTTGTGAACAGTAGGGGTAGTTTAAGAGATTTACCCTTTAAAAAAAAAAGAAATTGTCTAAAACTCACCATAATTTAAAGCATTCCTCTAAGGGTAAATTTCTTAAACTACCCTTATGGTTTAGCTAATTAACTAAGTATACCTTTACTACGATTTAGCTAATTGATTAAGTGTACCCTTACTGTTTGAAAATTAACTAACATTACCCCTATTGTTTTTGAGAACTGACTAATCCTTCTTAATCATTAACATGTGTCAGGAGATATGAAAAAGACTATTTTACCCTCCACTATAGATTATTTGGATCTCTCCCTCTTCCTCCCATTCTCTTCGCTAGAACTGTTGGAACGACGGATGATGACTAGATTTGGGTTCCTTGCAGATCTAAGAGATACTCAAATATGGGTTCCTTACTCCTCGGATCTTTCCCTCTCCCACTCATTCTCTTTGCCAGAATTGCTAAAACGACGGATGATGACTTGATCTCAGATCTGGGTTCCTTACTTGGATCTCTCCCTCTCCCTCTCATTCTTTTCGTTTGAATTATCGAAATGGCAAATGATGACCGGATCTCAAATCTAAGTATCTCTCAGATCTGGGTTCCTTACTCGGATCTCTCCCTCTCCCTCTCACTTCGCTGAAATTGCAGGAACGGCGGATGATGACCGGATCTATCTTCTTTTAGGTTAGGTCACAAAACCATGTAAAACGAGATGAACAAAGCTTTGCAAGTAGCTTGCGGGATGAACAAAGCTTTACAGCAAGTGGAAAAACGAAGACGGAATTTAGACTGTTAACCTTTGCATTTGCGGCAGTTCTAGAGAAGAGAATAAGAGGGGCGCCAACCTCTACAGTTGTAGAGGTTCTAGAGAAGAGAACGAGAGGGGCGCCGACCTCTACAGTTGTAGAGGTTCTAGAGAAGAGAACGAGAGGGGCGCTAACCTTTGCAGTTTTGGAGAAGAGTAGTGGTTCCAGAGAAGAGCACTAGAGAAGAGTGGCGGTTCCAGAACTCTGTAGTTCCGATGAAGGTTAGACCTCTGTAGTTCTAGAGAAGAGAACAAGAGGGAGAAGGAAGAGGAGAAAGGTTGTAACTGTAATTCCCCTATAGCATTCGACCTCTACAGTTTTGGTGGTTCCAATGGTTCCAGAGAAGAGAACGAGAGGGAAAAGGAAGAGGGGGAAGGTCATAATTGTGATTCCCCTATAGCATTCGACCTCTGCGATTCTGGCAGTTCTTGAGAAGAGAATGAGAACGAAAGGGAAGGATCATAGATCTACAGTAAAAGAGGGGGAGGTCGGAGGTGGAGGGTAAATTTGGGTTTTTAAAAAATTATGTCATGTGCTTATGAGTTTTGACGGAATATTAACATAACTTAACAGTAAGGGTAGAGTTAGTCAATTGTTAGGAACAGTAGGGGTAGTGTTAGTTAATTTTCAAACATTAAGGGTACACTTAGTCAATTAGCTAAACCATAAGGGTAATTTAAGAAATTTACCCTTTCTCTAATCCTCTTAAACCCACCATAACTTTTTAAAACATTTAGGGAACCTTTACATTAAATAGACTAATAGATGTTGGTAGATTACTATTTTACCCTTCTATTCTAAATGGAAAATAAAGCAAAACTTTAATAAAAACAATAAAAATCACTTTATCCATTGTAATTCCAAATGCACCAAGGACCAAAATCAAGAAAAGATTTATAGTTAAGAAGAGGACACGTGGCACTATAGGACCCAACGTCCACTTCTATCGGATGTCAATTAGAATAAAGGTGTATTGAATAAAAATTATGCTGACATAAAAATATGTTTAATAAGGCTGATATGTCATTGAGGGGCAGTTTGGTCATAAAAATTGCATTTATGCTGATGTGGATAATTTCTGTCAATGAACACTAACGGTGCTCTAATTGATGATGAGTTTTCGAAAACAAAAAGTCATTGACATGGGGTTCTATGGACGTTTTACAAAGTTATAACAAGTTTAAGAGAAATGCTTAAAAGTCACAGTGAGTTTTAGACAATTTCCCTTTAAAAAAAATTGCTTACTGTCTAGAAATTGCTTTCAACTACTCAAGTTCTGTGRCAATTAAATCCTTCTTGAGGTTAATACTAGTTAATGGAAAATTGGAAAAGACATTCTTACCTATCATTTTTCTTTAAGTTTTCAAAATTAAACATTTGAAAAAAGACTTAGGGTCCATTTGGTTCACAGTCGGAATCAGAATCAAAATCGGAATAGTCTATTCTCATAGTCTATTTGGTTTAGACAAGAATGGGAATAGGAATTGGAACCAGTAGGAAAGAGATTTCATTCCCAAGGGAGAGGCAAGGAATGGCCATTCCATCAGAAATGGAAATGGGAATCCAATTCCGCCCAACCAAACAGTTGGAATTGAAATAGCCCATTTTGATTCTGATTCCAGACCCCTATTCTTGCAAACCAAACGGAGCCTGATAACATTTAAATAAACCTACAACATTTGAACAATCCAAGTATCTTTTGCTTATGTCATGCTTGAACGTTGATTGTTGATTATATTCATGGATTCTCAACAACCAATTGTGACTTTGTTCAAGAACTCCTTTGTTTGTGATGAGCCAGAGAGCCAGGGATTTAGTTATGCCGCCTAGTAGACCTGTGATGGTTTCACCGGAAAGTTTGACACCCATATGGAAAGGAAGGTGCAATAACTATCGGAGATAATTATGACTTTGCTTGAGTGTTGATTGTTGATTATATTCATGGAATTTCAACAACCAGTTGTGTCTTTATTCAAGAACTCCTTTATTTGTGATGAGCCAGAGAGCCAGGGATTCAATTATTCTCCTAAACCTGTGATGGTTTCATCGGAATGTTTGACACCCATGGAAAGGAAGGCACAATAGCTATCGGAGATGATGTATAGATAGAAGCGTTTTTGAAAATTTGGATATGTTAAGATTTATTTTAAAATTTGAAGGATATGGGAGGGAAAGTTGACCATAAAAAGGGCAATATTAGAATTTAAAAAATAAAAAATTCTATATATCCCATGTGATACATGTGAAGAGATTATGATGGAACACTATCGGTGGGGGTTGATTTAGTCAATTGTCAAAAAAACTTAGAGTCTTTTTGGTTTACAATTGGAATTGGAATCAAACTCCTTCGGATCAGAATCGAAATGATCCATTCCCATTGTCTGTTTGATTCAGACAGGAATAGAAATGGGAATTGGAATCAACAGGAATGGGATTTCATTCTCAAGGAAGGGAGAGGGAATGACTATTCCCACTAATGGGGGAATGCCATTTCAATGAGAATGGGATTCCCATCCCGCCCAACCGAACAGTTGGAATCGGAATAGCCCATTCTAATTCCAATTCCAGACCTTTATTCCTGCAAACCAAACGAGGCCTTAGGAATACTTTAAGACAATTTCTAAATGGCAGGGGTAGAACAATCAATTTCTTAACTAAAACTTGAGGACAATTTGTACATTTTTTGTGGGCATGATCTTGACCATTCAAATTAGCTGGTGAATCTGCATTGCACAAAAAGCTATTATTGGTGGATGATTCCACTTCCAAGCGTGTATACAAATCATCAAAAGTAAAGTTGTCACGTAGGCTGCAATTGAAAGCGATGTAAAACGTCATCAACATAAGAGTATATGAAATATCAATGGGGTTTTACAACGAATTGTACAAAATGTTACCGTCGAGCTTCGAAAAGCGTTGAATTTTTACATTGATTTTATTGATATAGTCTTGTAATATTTACATCAATAATCAAATGACATTTTACATGCAGCCCTAAGTGTCAATAATTAAACGAGTAAATGCCTTAAACTACCCAAAGTTTAAAAAATGAATAAAACTTTCTGTACTGTGTGAAAAATCCCTTAAACTAGATTTTCTAACAAGTGACTAATTCTACCCCTATCGTTAATATACTGTCACATTTCATCCACATGGTCAAGTGAGCGGTGTCTAGCTGGTTCGTTCCAGCAGAGACAAAGGAATTCGAATCCCACTACCACCATATTTGACGGAGGGGCTATATGGTGTGGTGCTGGCGTGCTGCTCTTACCAAATACCAAAAAAAAGAGGTTAAAAACTAACAGCCCTGAAAAACATCAAGGCTGAATAAGCAATAAAAGGCAGCAGTATACGTTTCTGGCAATAGGAATTCCAACCGTGCAGACTCCATTAACGAATTTCAATTCCATTAGAATGACAATAGGAAAAAAAGTTAAAAACTAACAGCCTTGAAAAATATAAAGGCTTAAGTTTAAGCAATTAAACAGCAACAGTATAAATGTCCCTCATCCTCCGTCAACGTAACACTGTAAAAAATGCCTCTTCACCCGTTCTGGTTTTTCAATGGTGAGTAGCAGCCAAAGCTAATGTGCGTGGTGCACCAAATAACACAATTTGCCCACTAATTTGCCACTAGATCCAGCATGGCAGGGTTATCAAGCTGTCCACAAAACGAGAATAAAGATTTTCTTTCCACTCCAAAATTTGTCTTTTTCCTTTTAATACCAATCTATCATCTATATCAAGACTCCCTTGAACTTGCTGCTCCAGCATCATTTCAACATTTCCTTCCTAGAGACTTCAGTGTTAAACATGAACTCATCATCTTGGCGGGAAGGTTTCAGAATAAGGCTTGGATCTCTTAATCTTTGATCAGGTGAATTCACAATGGAATATGGGCTCCTGACCTCCTTACCATTAAAATGCAGAGGCTTGAAGAACATCACAATAACCAAGTCATATGAATTGGCTTGAAAACCAGTAGCTTTCTACTTTGATATATGCACTACTCAAAAATCTCCGTCAGCTGGTACAAGCTTTAGTAACTTTGCAAGGTCATAAGACTTGAAATCTTTTCCGTAACATAAACTTAGATCCAGTGGTGTCTTCCCATCCTGAACATAATAAACAAAGAAGCAAAACTGTTATGCTCAATGAGAACCTGATAAATTTTTGGATTGATAGGTATTTAAGAGAAGTTATTAGAACTATTACCTAAAGCACATTTCCTTCCAAGAACTTATACTAAACTCAGAAGGTTCAGAAATGTGTAGTAGTTTTCCTTTTCCTCCTATTTTGTATCTAAATTTATGGAGAAAAAGAGAAATGGAATAAAGCAGGTTTTCGGTGAAAAGGTAAAGAAGAATTTATCAATTCCTAAAGCACAGTTCAGCCAGGAGAGGAGACCAACCATGTAACTGAAAATGTTTATCCTAATTTCCGGTGTAATGACCTTCTATCTGACCATGACTATCAACATATGGGCAAAATGGAGGGGTGCATCCAGAGTCTAATGTGATGGGTAAATATCACTTAGGTTAAAAGGAAAATTCTATAAGACAGTTTTAAGGCAAGCAATACTTTATAGAGCAGTGTTGGGCAGTTAAGAAACATGTCCAAAAAAATGAGTGTGGTAGAAATGTGTATGCTGAGTGGAAAAACAAGAAAGGGTCAGAAATGAAGTCATTCAAAGGAAACATAGGAGTAGCCCCAGTAGGTGATAAAATGAGAGAAGGTAGATTAAGATGGTTTGCTCACATGCATAGAAGACCATTGTATGGGCAAAAGGTCAATCCTTAAGGTAAGAACTTGTATGGATAACCATGCTGAAAGAACCTGAGAATATGGGCTCAAAATCAGGTACATCATTTTTGATGAATAAAATCAGGTACATCTTCCCATCAGAAAAACTGAAGACTTAATGTATACTTGCCTTGTTTCTTCGGTTCTTATCAGCACCATTGACTAAAAGAACTTTTGCTATATCCCGACATCGACTTTGTATTGCAACATGCAATGGGGTCCAACCTTCCTGAAGAGTAAATGAAAATAAATGGATGGGAAGGGAAAGGAGGAATAAAAGAAGTTATTTGGGAAAACTATAAAAAATGAAGAGGAAAGGACCCTTACATTATCTGCAACATTTACATCAACCTTGTATTTGATTAATAACTTTACAGTTTGCATTGCACCAACTTGAACTGCATAATGAAGTGGGGTAGCACCATTCTGTCACAAGGAAGAAATCAGGCAATCAAACATCTGGTCTCTCCAGAATCAAATAGAAAGAACCATGCAAATTAGGATACGGGAAGCACTTTCTCACCCTATCTCTGATGTGTGGATTTGCACCTTTCCTCAAAAGATGACTAATAACAACTTCCTTTTTACCAATAACTGCCTTATGAAGAGCAGTGAAACCATCCTGTTCACCAAACTGACTCAAGCTCCAATGATAATGGCGAGCGAGGACAAATTGAATGTTGAAGCATTGATTGAAAAAATAAAAGGGAAAAAATATTAAACATACCCTGTCAACTGCATCAATGTCAACACCCTGCTCAAGTAGTTTATCCATGAAATTTATCTGTCCTGATAGTGCAAGAGTATGAAGTGGACTCCATTTTTCCTGTGTGAGAATTACAATTTTTTTAGTTGAAAAGCTTAGTTAACAAAAAAAATGCAGATAGATAGCTTACAATTAAATTGCTTAAGAAATGACAGTTAATGAACTACACAAGGTCAAGCCTATGATACAAAATAAAAAGCAGATAAGGTGCAGCAAGAAAGACTGAAGAACACCTAGAAAGAAATCAAATAAGGGGAAAAGAAAGGACTTCTTCATGCTTTGGAAACTTAACAGTTGATATTTTCCTCAGAACAGGAGCTTCATTCTGTTGCAAAATTGCTTTCTCTTCTGATCCCAAAAGCTGTTCAACTTCTGGAATTATTAAAAGAGAAGTCAATATTTAACACTGTCACATTTATAGATGGAAGAAATGCAAAACTGGCATGTCTGTGAAATTAAAAACAGTAAGTTCCATATTATGTTTACTATAGGTAAAGAACAAGAATAAAATCTGCAATGTACCAGAAACTATGTGGAGAAAACCTTGACTAATGTCAATCTAAAGTAAAAGTGAGATTCACATTAGATTTATTTATATGTAGAATTCTCTATATGCAGAAGCAACATAAATAAACAAAATCTAAATGTTGTCTAACCATATATTAATTTGTCATCTTTGAACTAGTAATAGTTTGTCAAAAGGATGAGCCTAAACATAAAGGAATTAGCATATGAAATCTTAATATCTAATGTGAAATTTTCTCCCGTTGTCAAGGATTAAATATTTACCAGAACTTTGAAAGTTTCAATATTTTGTTCAGGTTTGAGGATGACCAGAGCGGAATCTTCAGAGAATTATACAAAACTCTGGTTTCAGCCCATAATGGGGGAAATAGAAAATAATTTACATGACTAGATAAAACAGAATCACAAAGGATAAAAGATAAATACGATAAGAGAGAAAAAAAAAAAAGAGGGTAAACAGAAAAGACATCATGATGTACAAAAATTTAACTTCAAGCATACTGATTTTTTTTTATATTTCATACCCTTTACAAAATTCAGCCGAAATATAAGATTTTTTTTCATGCTATATGGAAATGGAATCAAGATTTAAATCATTGTCCACTGCATACTTAACTAGTACAATGATAAGACATACATGGGCACTGAATTGTCACTATATTAACTTTTAATTTGGAAAAAAGGAACGTATAAAGAACAATTTGATCACTCGCATTCTTGCAATAATTAAAACTCTAATTTGGAAGGCAGAATGATAGGCAATAACTCATGCACTTAAAGTTGACAGGCATTCTCTAGTATAATGGATAACTAATCAAGAATTTTGTGAAATAAAAGTAGATAAAGACGCTGATTCAAATTTGAGTTATAGACAAAAAAAAAAAGAGATACAGAAATAAAAATCATTTGTGCTTCGACTTGATTCACTGTAATGACGTTTTCTTAGCTTTCCAACTGCTTAAACTGCAATCAAAAGCCTCTTCTGAACATGGATTGCAATTCCCATTGTCTTTTTTCTTTTCTTTTCTTTTTTTTTCGAGAGAGAGATAATAAAAGTTTAACCCTAGAAATATTTCTTCCTCTCCGCCCTCCCAAAGAGAGCACGAGTAGTGAAGACGGTTTTAATTCTACACGTTCTTGCAGTAAGGAATAATGCAGAAAGTATCTAGACATTGGTATTATTCCTAAATCCAAAAAGCCGAAACTCGGCAAAAGTTCATACGGGAAAATAGAAACCAAAAACAAGACTTCCATACATGAGGATAATCAACAAAACGAATAAAGCCCAGAAGTAGTTCGAAGAAAAACGAAAAAGCTACAAAAGAAAATGAATAAAATACCGTTCAAGAGGTCCTCCTCGTACTGAGTACTTGGGAATTTGAATTTAGTAACACTTGCAACAGCAACAGCAACAGCAGGAAGTCCTTCTTCTTCCCAATCGCTCTCGAAGTCCAAATCATTTTCTTGTTCTTGTTCTTCGTCTTCGTAATCACTGCCACTACCGTCGTCAGGTTCTTCCCAAGTGCCCCGCGGGGCTTCAAATGAAGAAGCCCCTTTCGACTGGAGGGCACAAATTCTTGATTTCGTGGTCGAACCTGTAGTAGGAGCTAAAACCCTAATTCCCCATGGATTCCAGTCCTTGGGGGTTTCATAGCTTCTGCTGTTATTTGGGGCAATACAGAGTGAAGGAAGCAAACGATTGGAAGAAAATCCGCACAGCACCAACATCTTTTAATGGAAGAACGCGCGAATGCTTTAACCAAACTATATGATTTTGTTTTCGCGGAGGAGAAGCAGTTTATACGATAGACCCGGTGAGTAGATTCAAAGAAGGCAAATTTCTTTAGATAAATTTCTTAAACTACCCTTATAATTTAGTTATTTTACTAAATATATTTTTACTGTTTAAAATTTATTAACGTTATTTTTACTGTTTTTTACAATTGACTAATCCTTTCCTTACGGTTAATATTCCGTCATAAACCATTTAAATATGCATCACATTACTATTATAACTTTCAAACATACTCTTACCCTTGTTATAACTTCAGCACCGGCATCTGCATCAATGTTGTGACTCTCCCTCCCCTTCCTTCGTATTTGAATCCTTCTGAAGGTTTTCAATGGCAAGAGAAGACTTTTGTTCAATTGGTTTATCGTCTTCATGGACTTGGCCTGAATTTCCGGCTATGAACTTTATAGCTAACAGAGTACCCTATAGGTAGGAGAGATGGAAGAGTGCCTTCAGTTTCTATTGTGACACAGGCTGGTGGACTCCATTCACATTCCCTCTTCTGCCTCTCCTTCCACTTGACATCGGTGATGTTCGCTGATTTCTCACTATTTTCTTGGCGGTGTTCTGCCACCGCCGCTGTATCAATAAACATCAAAACCCACCGTTCTGCAAATGGAGAGAGAGAGGTGGAACAAGGGAGAGAAAGTACAGGTCGAGAGAGGGCGGTGGAACAGGTGAGAGCGGAGGTAGGGAGCGAGAGAGAGAGAGAGAGAGAGAGGGCGGTGGAATAGGGGAGAGCGGAGGCAGGGAGAGAGAGAGAGAGTAAAAACCATTACCGTTCATGGAGATTCATGCGGTTGTAAACTTGTAATTCGCATGAGATTTCTCTCATGGCCGGCATTGAACCGAGAAATCTCTCTCTCTCCCCCCTCTCTCTCTTTGACGAGATCAATCGGATCGAATTCAAAAGCTCCGCGAGTTCAGAATTCAGGATAAGTGAATAACTGATAGATCGATTTATTGGTTGTGATTTAGTTTGTTTTAATCTAGAAACAAGGGTCTTGAATACGCCAACGCAGTCTGGAGATTGACGAATTGGTTTTTTGGTGTTGAAGATATGATTATATCGGTTGGTAAAATTTTGAGATATCAGGTGCTCTTTTATCCTTTTCTTTGCTCTTGCTGATATTACTAGCTGTGATTCAGTTTCTTTTAATCTAGAAACAAGGGTCTTGAATGTGCCAACGCAGTCTGGAGATTGACGAATTGGTTTTCTGGTGTTGAAGATTCGATTATATCGGTTGGTAAAATTCTGGCAGGTGCTCTTTTATCCTTTTCTTTGCTCTTGCTGATATTCTCGTCTTTCAATTGATTCCGAACTCTCTGATCTGGAGATCTGTCAGTGGAAATTGTTCGTATTGAGTTGGTAATCCCAAAACCGTGGAGATCTGTCGATGGCGACAACAGGGAGAGAAATGGATTGTGCACCAGGTCGAGAGAGATAGGGGAGCTATCGCCGCTGCGTGTAATCCCAACACTGATTGCTATAGCCGGAACGATTGCTCCAATTGACAAAAGAGTCCTTTGGAAAATCAACCGATTAGTGTAGCTGGAATTATATCCGATTTTTGAAAATTTAAAGAAGAAAGATGGATAAAATAGTCTTTTAATCCTTCTGTTAACTAAATCATAAGGATACACTTAGTCAAATCACTAAATCATAAGGATAGTTTAAGAAATTTACCCATTTCTTAAACTACCCAACTATTTAGTTAATTACTAATTGTCTTAAACCACCTTAATCTTTCTGACAATTGTCATCATGTTAAACATTGACCAAAAAAAAAGTAAAAAGTCATATTTATCCTCCAATCCCAAATGCCGATCCTTGCTAGTAATTAAAGACCGGTAATCGAGCAACAATTGTAGACACCTCAAGCCACGCAGGAGTAGATAAAGTACAGAGAACTCTCCATTTTATTCTCGAATCAAAATTCTGCATTTTCGATCAGAAATCGAAAGAGATGTAGGGCTTGTTCGTTTCCTCTTAACTTTTATCTCTTAAGAGGAATCTTTTAACTTTAAGGGAAAAATGGTTGTTTGTTTTCTCTTATCTTTTATCTCTTAAAGTGCAATCATACAACCTTTTGTTTTCCAATGACGCCCCCCCCAAAAGACAAACAAAAACTCTCATATATGGGGTCAAAATGGATATTTGATAATTCAGAATTCAAAGCAACATTCTCTACATTCAGAGTTTAGAGGAAAGAAAAATTCACTAATACCAATACACCTCTTAATGTAATTATTGTACTTTCAGATGTCAGACTTCAAAGCAAACAAACAAGCCCATAGTCTACTCGAGACCAAGACGATCACGGTACCCACACGCAAGCCTTCTCAGATATACTCCCAACACGACTTGTGGGATGGTGACAAGGGCTCATATAGCCACATATAAGGTTTGTTGGAGCATAGGTTGTTTCGGTTCAGACATACTTGCCAAAATGGATCGGTCCATTGCTGACGTTGTGGATGTGCTATCACTCTCTCTCTCCTGCTTTCTATCTGTTGTTGTCATCGCTGCTACAACTTCAAGTGGCGGTGGTCTCTCTCTCTTTCTCTCGACTCTTTGTCTCTCTCCCCCTTTCGCTCTTTCTATCCACGGCCACCATCTTCGTTGCAACTTCAAGCGGCAGTGGTAGTGGTTTGTGTGTGTGTGTGTGTTCTCCATCTCTCTCCCGCTTTCTATTTGTTGTTGCCATCGCCGTTGCAACTTCAAGCAGCAATGGCAGTGGTCTCTCTCTGCTCTTCGTCTCTCTCCCGCTTTTTGTCCGTCGCAACCATCGCCGTTGCAACTTCAAGTGGTAGTAGTGGTCTCTCTCTTTGCTCTCTGTCTTTCTCCCCCTTTCGCTCTTTTCTGTCCATTGCTGCCATCGTGGCTGCAACTTCAAGTAGTGGCATTTTTTTTGCTTGCTCCCTTAATCTCTCTCTCTCTCTCTCTCTCTATCTATCTATCTATCTATCTATCTATCTCTCTCTCTCTCTCTATATATATATATATATCCAGTCTCTACTCTATGTCTCTCTCCCCTTTCATTCTCTACGACATTTTCATGGACAATCGGCCATGCCATCGACAAAGGACAAAGAGAGGTTTCCACCAATCAATCGGTCGTGCCAAAACCAAGACACAAGAAACCAAAGCATTCTGCTCATCTTTTGAAACCCTGATCCTCCTCTCTTACTTCTCTTCAAGTCTGTCATTTTCTTTCTTCTTCCACTATAAGACTGGAAACCAAGAAAAAGATACCCCCAACAAAGCTGATCTCTCTCTCTCTCCACACAAGTCCAATCAATTGTTGGTCGAAGCATATAGCCAACCGATCAACCTTTTCTCTTGCTTGATCTGGCATTTTAAGGATTGTAGGGGTTTCAATTCCGATGTAATCTCCGATCCATCAAGTCTGCGGGATTTGCAACAAAACCCCACCGATATCTCTCCCATAAAAATAAAGAAGGTTGTATTGGGTTTTAAAAAATTTTTATCGGTCACATGATGTCACATGTTACGGATTTTGATGGAACATTAATAAATGCTAACAACAAGGGTAAAGCTAGTCAATTGTCAGAAACAGTAAGGGTGGTTTAAGACAACAATTAAACAGTAAGGGTACCATGAACATCCAATTTGAAATTGAGTTTGGGGTTCACTCCATGGATGAAATGGTATGGAGCCGCCACCCATCGATACAAGGAACATGGGAGTGATGGGCCTCCCAAGTTCGAGAATCAAAACAAGACTCTCATGTGATCCCAAAAGAGGCTATTCTAGGTACTTTATAGGGGAGAGAGGGAAGGTGTTAGGCACCCCTCTCTCATACTCAACATGTAGTACCATTCCCCTACTTCGGTAAAGAAAGAATAAGAACAAAAGAAAACAAAAAGCTACAAGATTTCTAGCAACCTTGCCCATTAAAAATGATAGTCATGGTGAGCTTGTTTCCCAAGTGATTTAACCCTCTCATTCTCTTTTTGGATGAGAGAAACCCTTAAAGGAGCAAAGGATTAGGTAACTGCATGCATCCTCCTTCTTTATCCAAGGTTCCCCTCATTCCTACTAGGCTAATGAGAAAAAATCAAAGCACAAGGGAATCAATCCCCTATTAACCACCTCACTTAGGGCTCACTAAGCACAATCTACACACGATTTAAAAAAAAAAAAGGAAACAAAACAAACTGATAAACAAGATAGAAAAACTAACTTGAACTAGAGTTTAACATGGAGCCGAGATACTATTAAACATGTATTCTAACATTCAAATAAAAAAGATCCAATATGTATATTCATTTAACTAGACAAATCTGAAGTTAAATACAATAAGAGAAGAAATTTCAGCAATGATATATATTCTAATTATGTTAAATAACTAATAAATGACATAGAATGTTATCCAAACCAGACAACAAAGTGTTTTAATAATTTATACTCCAAGTCACCAAGAAATTAACTAAAAAGAATAACAAACATCATCCAATAAAAAAAAATCAATGCTGAAATGAAATAAATAAAAAAAAACACCTAGAGCATTACGAAGATTCAAGAAAACAAAAAAAATACTAAAATAAAACAAAAACAAAAAATAAAAAATGATGAGGTGAGGGGCTCACCTCTTTGTGGCCTTTTGACATACACACAAGATAACTGATTGAAAATGTTGACGTCTCTTTTTGAGGTTGAGCTTTGCCTGAATCGAATGGGTAGAGGGGTTACTTCTCCAACGTTTCTTTGAGACTTTCTTTTTTTATTCTTGGATTGAATGATGATGGAGGATAGGTTCAGCTGGACTCTTGGAAGGGAGAAGGTTCAAGGAAGAAAAAGGGTTCTGTTTTGGGGTTAACAAAATTAGGGTTTTGATGGAGCTAGATTTCAGTTTGGGGTTGAGAAGTATGAAGAAGAGGGTGATGGGTAAGTTAGTGAATTTCAGTTAGGGGAAATAGAAGGGTAAAGAGGGATATCAGAGAGAGAAAGAGAGGGATTTCGGTGAGAGAGAGATAGAGGGAAATGGATTCTTTACCTTAGCCAAAAATA